AGTGTATAATATAAATGCTAAACGTTTATGAAAATGTTCACACCACATTCTTCTCCCCTTTTGTTTGAGAATACAGAGCATAAGGAGTCAGGACTTTTAAAACTGTTTAGACTTCGCGGCTTCTCAGATTGTATGGACGAACCCTTCGTTGTTTCTCTAGTAAAGAAGATGGGTTCGGATCAATTTTGACATTTTCACTTAAATTGTCCGTCAAAATAGGAGTTTCAGTATCTGTAGAACGGGTCGATATGTCGTCTTCAGTAAGTTGATTTTGGAGGCATTCTGGTACTGCGTCTGGAATCGGCATGCTAACGGGCGATTGAAATATATGTTCTTTTGGTGCAAGATGATGAATAGATACTGTTTCCTCACGTCCATCTGGAAGTCTCACATGAGCATACTTGGGATTACATTCAATCAGTTCAACTTCATCAACTGGAGATTCATATTTAGAACGTACATTACGGCGCATCAAGACCGGTCCAGGAATAGTTAACCAACTGGGAAGAGAAACACCAGACGTTGATTTTCGATTGTACCTGAACATCCGTTCGTGTGGAGTAGTATTTGTGGCAGTACATAAAAGAGAACGGATAGAATGAAGAGCGTCGGGGAGAACAACTTCCCACTCACAGATTGGTATGGACCTAGATTTAGCAGCTAGTGATATACATCGCCAGAGAGTGCCGTTGAGACGTTCAATCTGTCCATTTGATTGGGGGTTGTGTGCTGTTGTTCTACTGGTAACTATTCCTTTATCGTGGAGAAAATGTTTTAATTCTGCAGACATAAACGACGATCCTCTGTCTGAATGTATGTAGGATGGCATACCAAACAGGGAAAACAACTGGCACAGGCAATTAATAACAGTTGATGCTGTCATATCCTGGCAAGGAAAAGCGAACGGAAATCTAGAGTACTCATCAATTATCGTAAGAAGATATTTGTTCCGGGAGTTTGAAGGAAGAGGTCCTTTGAAATCAATATTTAGACGTTCAAAAGGAGAAGTCGCTTTAATAAGATTTCCTGTGGATACTTTGCAAAACCTGGGTTTCAGCTCAGCACAAACTGCACAACTAGATATCGTCCTCTTCACATCATCAACAGAAAAAGGTAGGTTCTTAGAACGCACAAAGTGAAGAAGGCGAACAACTCCTGGATGGCACAGAGAGTTATGTAGGTCTTTCAGATTAGTTTCACCCATGACAGAAGCAGAATATCCGCGAGATAATGCATCGGCGACTTTGTTTTCTTTGCCACAACGGTAGATTATATCAAAACTGTAACAAGAAAGTTCTATTCGCCAACGCTGAATCTTGTCATTCTTTATTTTCCCATGGTGGTTCATATCGTACATGAAAGAAACTGATCGTTGGTCTGTAATGAGTTGGAAATGAGTACCAAGTAAATAATGACGCCATTTTCTAATAGCTTCGACGATGGCATAAGCTTCTTTCTCCACCGCTGAGTGATGCCGTTCACTTGGTGATAGTGTTCTGGAAAAAAATGCAACGGGTCTACCATTTTGTGTTAACGTAGCAGCTATAGCAGTATCCGAAGCGTCGGTTTCCACTATAAGGGGCAAGTCGAGATCCACAGTAGTCATCACAGATTGAGCAAGTTCATTTTTTAATGCTGCATATGAGCTTACAATAGTACCTGGTAATGGAAAGATTTTATTTTGTATAAGGGGTTGAATTTTATCGGAGAAATGAGATATCCATTGTGAATAATACGCAAAGAGACCAATGACTCGCTGTTGGGATTTAAGATCTCGTGGAGGTGATAAATTCCATAATGCTTGAAGTCTATCGGGATCAGGTTTGATCATTTTATGAGAAACTTCATAGCCTAGAAGTTTTACTTGTTTAACGCCAATAACACTTTTATTCTCATTGAATGTTAGCCCATATTTTCTGGATGCTTCATAGAACCGGGCAAGATTTTTTGCATGTTGTTCTGTGTTTTCACCACAAATAGTTATATTATCTAAATAAGCAAATGTAGCTTGAAGATTTTCATTTCTGATAATCTGACTGATAACTCTCTGAAAACACGAAACACCGTTTGTGACACCAAAGGGAATACGACGGAACTGATAGAGGTTGCCGCAAGCTTCAAAAGCTGTGAAGAGTTTCTCTTCTTCTTTGATGGGTATTTGATGGTAAGCACTCTTTAAATCCAAAGTGCTAAATACAGTATATTTTGAAATCTTTTCAATCATCTCATCAATTTTTGGGAGTGGATAGGCATCCAATAATGTGAAACGATTTATCGTTTGGCTGTAATCAATCACCATTCTACGCTTGTGGCGTTCATTAGTAGTGACCAAAACTTGGGCGCGCCAAGGGGAGTTTGATGGTTCGATGATCTGCTCACTGAGTAAATTTTTGATTTCCAGCTTGATGAAATGTTCATCTGAAGTGGAATGTCTTCGTGATTTTGTAGCGATCGGAACACATTTGGGTGTTAGGTTATGAAACAAGGGAGGTGGATCAATATGTGCAGCAACAAGATTACACAGTGAAAATGGATTGTTTTTACCTTCAAATGGAATTTCGAGTTTATTATGCAAGCGTAAAAAATCATGACCTAATAGCACATCAGCACACAGATTTGGCAACACTGAAAGTTTGATATGTGAGTAACTCGAGTCTTTATAACGTAGATTTACATAACAGTGACCATGAGTATGAGTTGTCAGACTTGTGGAAGCCATTGTGATTGAAGTGCGAGAATGCTCTACCTTTATATGTTGTTTTTGAACGACTGCACAAGAAATATAACTGTCTGAGCTCCCAGTATCTACGAGGGCTTGTAGGGGAATGTCATTTACAAAAAGCTGCACAACCGCATTGGAGAGAGACTGTGGAGCGGCGGCTAGAGTCATGGAAGACAACAAAGAACTAGTAACTGATGTAGTTTTGGTGTACGATTTTGACCGGCAGACCTTCTGATAATGCCCCTTCTTACCACAGAGTTTGCATACTGCATCCCTTGCAGGACATTTAGAGCGAGGATGTCTAGTAAATCCACAGAAGTAGCATTTCTCATTTATTGAAGCAGTCAATCCTGTTTCACCCACATAAGAGTTTAGTTCATTTGATGTATCACTGTTTGATATTGCAGCAGAATTGGAGAATTCGGAAGGATGAAACGAATGTGATTGTTGATAAGCCATTTCTAGGGATCAAGCTTGTTCATAAGGAGTATCAAGATCAAGTAATTTGTTTTCCAGAAGACGTTGTCGTATATTATTAGATTGCATTCCACTTATGAATGCGTCACGTATTTCATCATTCTGATTTTGTTCAGTCGAGACAGGTTTGAATGAACAATCTTTTGCCAGAGATTTCAGTTTTTGTAAAAATTGGTCGAGGCTCTGTCCAGTTTCTTGTTTGCATGTGGATAATAGATGTCGAGCAAAAATCTCGTTCTTTGGTTTGACATACAGTTTCTCAAGAGTACTAAGAGCGCCGTCAAATGTTTTACATTCAGCAATGTATTCATATACAGTAGGTGAGATATAGTTGATGAGAACATCAAGTTTGTCTGAATCTGGAGTTGAAGATTTAGTGATAAAAGTATTGAATGTACGAAACCAATGATTCCAAATCTTCGAAGATGTTTGGCAATTGGAATCAGCATCAAAGCGTTCGGGACGTAATATCTTGTCCATAATAAAACGAATAAATTGTAGTGTTTATGAGTTAATCAAACATTCACCGATCAAGTGAGAATACTGAGGGCCCGCAATAAAGGCTTTATTCGTTTTATAATTCCAGTATAGGATCTGGTTTAAACAAAAATGAAAGATGTGAATAGTGTATAATATAAATGCTAAACGTTTATGAAAATGTTCACACCACAAGTGTAATAATTTTCGAGATGATTGAAACAATTATGGTAATTCGTTTTTCCTCACTTACTTGGGAAAAATGTTAGCGAAACAGTTTCCACAGGAAGCATTTCTACTAGATTTGAGCAGTATTCGAGCAGTGGTGATGGTGTTGTGTAGAAAAGGAATTTGGAATAACTTCGCTTTGACGAATGTAACTGAAGTTAAAACACAAAAAGTCCTTCTCCTTGAATATCATAGTGTGGGATTGCCAAGTGAACATTAATTGTGTACACCATTGGCAACGTTTGGTTCACTTAATTGTTAGTTAAAACTGTTTTTATTCTCACGAAGTTGTTTTTAAAATAAATGCTCAAAATATTTGAGTGTTGAAATTGGTGGATCTACAACTTACTATTAGTCAACCACATTCGACAAACGGACCACTAATTCAAGAAGCTCCACTTCACATATCAAATGATATCGCCAATTCTGATAAAGTCATTATGGTTCATTGTATTATCCTGTATTCTAATATGTATCCGATTACTCTAAAGGAGGCAGGGACTTGAAGAGTATTCTTTCATTTCAGATGACAATTTTTCAAACACCTCTAGGGAACCAGTTAGTTAGGTTTGCTTGAACAACTTCGAGCTCGTTTCCTGTTGGTTTCAGCTAGAAATAACGCTCTGGTCATCTCTCCTGCCAGACCTGAACCCTGGCTGCACTATATGCTGACTTTTAAGTCCTAGCTCGCCTAGTTTCTTGTCCAGGCTGTTCTTAACATCACCCCAACTAGTTAAGGGAGAATAATAACACTTACGACTGCTGAAAGGTGTATTTATTAGTGATAATAGATTATAGTGATATACAATTGAACCACAACGAAGCTGTCGAGCTCTTGTTCGTTGAAAACCCAATTTACCCAGATAAACAAATTGATCGTTGAAGGTTCCATTGATTTGACGAATTTCTGTGTTTTCCCCTACACACCCATGAAAATCTTCAGTATTTTCACGTTTTCTATTTTAGATTAATGTTTACAGAGTTGTTAATATACATATGCATAACGTAGTGTATTGTATATTATTTTCTTCCTAGTCAATAATATTTATAAAGGTTTGTCACCTGTTTACGTTTTTGGTTTTTTTTATACCTTAAGTGAACTTCACACTTCTCTGGTTTCACCATGTCACGATTCTTGTTTTGGACGACCACATGATATGGACTATCCTGTCCCTCCAGAGTATCTGATACGACATTTAATTACAGATCGCCTACCTGATCCACCAATGAATCAATTATCCGAGGAAACATTGTTTTGGTTATTTTATAATTGTTGTCGAGAAGAAGCACAATTAGTTGTAGCCAAAGAACTGTGAGTTATTTTTAAAGAAAAAAATTATATCATTAGTAATCTTGGACTTTTCAAAATTATGAATGGGTCAAAATATAACGAATAGCTTCCATTTTGTTGATATTGTAAGAATTTTAAGGACCTTGAAGATCTTATTTGTGTAGGCTAATTATTTATTGATTTGAATTGATTTCTCTTACATACATACTGACTTACATACAAATTGATTGAAGTTCCATCCAAGTGTAAAAGTGTCGTTACTCGGCTAAGCTGCGTCTTGACAGTTAATTTAAAAGGTTTTTGTTTTCAACAACAGTATGCTGCCCATCAATGAGACACTAAAATTTTTTGTGGGAACTTTTAACCTTGAAATATTTCGAACTTCTTTGTAAAGCATTATGTTACCCTGTCCCTGTGGTGAATGCCACAGTGTGTTTCCAGTTGAAAATTATTAATGATGAGTACGGTCAATAGGCGTCGGTGGTGCAGTGATAGAATGCTCGCCATCCAAGGATGTGGACTGAGGTTCAATCCCCAACCGATGCACTACACCTTAACCTCTCTTAGTTGGTGGCAAGCCCAGTAAAAAGGGAATGTTGGGCGTGAGTAACTAATTTGAGCCACCCTATCCCGTAAAAAAAGTGGCACCATTGCTAATGAAACTTCAGAATTTAAGCCTAAAGTCCTATATTTCACTGGGAATGCAAAGCAATACAAAAAGAATAAATAAACCGTCAATAAGCACAAGAACCTTGTAAATTATTCTTTTTCCAACTACGTCATTTGACCTATTAACTAGCTGGACTTTAATAAAGTTTAATTAATAGTTCATTTCTTTGGAAGTATCTTCAAGTTCTTTAGTAAAATTTGTGAAGCTGTGTCGCTCTCATTAGACTCTAGATGCCACTGAATCACCCGTTTGCATCCTTTTTTGCCTACTAAAGTGTTCAGGTAGCCGGAAAGTATAGTATCGTGATGTTTAGCGTGACCACCAGTCATTGTCATCGGCGAGTATTTGTCCCCACGCCCAACCAGATCGACCTCACTAGTTACAGCTTATCACTAGAAATAACTCCTGTCAACTTCGTCCGGTAGCCAATCACTATCGGGCATCAGATCCATTTTCAAGAGTTAGTTTGTAGGGATTTGTTTTGTTTCACGTTTGCTCACAGATTGATATCAGTTAGATAACTATTAACAAACCAATGAGTACTGGACAGCTGTTTCGTCCTGCTTTGGGACTCATCAGTAGTACGTGCCCATGAGGCTTCAGATGCATGCAAAGTGAAACCCTACAAACCAACTCTTGAAAAGTAATCTGATGCTCACTAGTGACTGGCTATAGAATAAAATTGCTTGAAGTGTTCTAGTGAGAAGTCTCGTGACCAGTAGAGGTCCATCTGGTTGGGCATGAAGACAAATACTCTCCACCGATGATGATATTGGCTAGTGCCAGTAGTGCTAAAATCGCAAATTGGTAGGAGTTGAAATTCATGGGCCGTTGAATCGGACGACAGTTGCCTGGGTTCGAACGCCTGATGAGGAGCCTTCAACTAGGACGAAACTGATGTCCAATACTTCAAAATGGTTCTCTAATTGATATCAATACGTAGTTAAACTTGAAATAAACTAAATTCTTACAAATTAGCGCTTCAGAATTAATAAAATATCTAAGAGTTATAAGATTTTAATAGTTTTTGTGTCAATAAGTACTCTTCTAACTCAGTGGTGTTCGTATTAGACTTTGGTGGTAATTAAGAAATACTAAATTCCTGAATGCAGGGTTAGGGGTACTTGAGAAATATACTTAGCCTTATAGAGTATTGATTGTGTCACTCATATAACTCTTTGCAAGTAGTAATCGTTCGGTATTCTATTTCTAAAAAAGAATTGATTTCAGTGTCCTATATAAAATGTGTTTCTCGGAAGTGCGGATCTTTGACGAATACTTTAAAAAAATATTTAATAGAAGTGGATTTTTACAAGTTTATGATTCACTTAGTAGACGCGTGATTGTGAATGACTTATATCGTCCTCCGATTTTCAATCTGTCCTCTACCATTTTGTATCTAAGAGATGATTATTGAAGTAGGGAAAATAATCTTCTTAGGTTAGGAGAACACTCTTGAAACTTCTAACTCACTAAAAAGTCTGAGTGTGGTGTAGTGCTTTGTGTGCTACATAGAATGTGCGTCGGTGGCACAGCGGCTATGACTCTCGCCGATCATGCGCATGGTCTGGGGTGTTCGATTCCCTGCCGACGCACACCTAGTATCTATGGTCGGCCTGCAAAATTTGGGCTAACGATATCACATGCTGAAAATTCCATACCTGTACCAAAACATACGGTGTGGAATCAAGGTGTAATCAAAAATAATAAAAATAAAAAACTCAAACTGCTGCTCATCTCTGCAAAGTTCCGCGCTGAGACCAGTTAGTCAGTCAGTCAGAGTTTAGTGAAAAGTGTTTTTTTAATGGTTCTCCTTCTTGCCCTTCATCTCTTTCTTCATTTTAAAGATATCAACGTGAATGGCGATTTCATAAAAAAGAACAAATATGGCTTACACGTATAGTCGGAGCAAATTTTACATCGGATAATAATTCTGAACAGGGGGATTATTATTTTTGGGATCCACTCAAAGCACAGAAATCAACTCATCAAATGACCATTTTGTATTCTGATCTTGACAACGCGCCAGCAGCATTTCGTCTTAGTTCAGGCACATTAAGCGCCTTTGTCAGTATTGGTTTACCCGGTGGTCCTCATGGTGGTGGTGGTGTAATGTTCAGCCTCCTCCTGCTCCTCCTGCTCCTGCTCCTGTTCCTGCTCCACCATTACCATCAGTACAACAGCAGCAACAACAACAGTTGGTTACATATCAACAGTCACGTCAAGTACAACAGCAACAGCAGCAGCAACAACAACAACAGGGCCAACAAACATTTTCACATGCGCATCATCAAACCCTAATGAATAATACTGGTAATAATAATACATCTGGATCAATAATTCCGTATACGGCTAGCTCACTTACTACTGGACCATCAATGAATTCATCCAATGCAGCAGCAACATTGGCTAGTCTTTTCAACACTCGACAGCAACAACAACCATTGAAACCGCTACAACAACAACAACAACTCAACTCGAATGTGAATTATTTTCCACCATCGCATAATCGAACAACTGGTGGTGGTGGTCCTGTTAATTCTTTATTTACAAATAGATCTATGCCAGCATCATCAATTCCTGTTGTATCAAATGCAATTATCGCTTCGTCAGAAACTACGTCGTCATCAACTGTGAATTCAAATTTTAATCGCCTACCACCACCACCACCTAATGCATCGATGGTCAATAATGAGAATAACAATAACAATAATAATAATAATAATGAGAATGTCAATCAAGGAGTCTTTGATGGTTCACAAATTTAAATCTTTCTTTTTTTCCATCATTATCTCTATTGTGTGTAATGTAGTAGTATGTACTATGTACAACAAACACATACACACACACGTACACACAGTCACATACATACACACAGACAGGTGCATAGTTTGTTGGTTTGATGCGTAAATACAATCTCTTTTTTCTGTGTAAACCTTAATTAATAATATACGGCTAACTTTTTTTCACGAGAGAGGAGGATCCTCAGTTTATGTTGTTGTTCTATGTGGGATTTATTTTAATTCCTTTCCTTGATGAATTTGTTTTCTCAATGTTTTATTTTTTTTAGGTTACCTTATTTCTCCTTCCCTAAATTTGTCGCAAGAGGGGGGGGGCGGTGTATATCACAAACACACATGCATATATTATTTTTTCAGTTCATGCTTAATCTTTTTAATTTTATAATTGTTTCTGGGTTTTTTTTGATGCTGATTCACGTGTCATCGTTTTTATCCTTGTATGTGTGTGTTATTACTATTATTACTTTTTTCTTCATTATTTTTCTTGGTTTTGTATACCTACCTCTGTCCTTATTATCCACAAGACATCCAGGTTTCTTAGTGAGAAACAATGTGAAGGAATTCTTCATTTATTAATACAATACTACTATTAATATGATGATGTAATGTGTGTGTGTACATGAGTGAGTGGCACTCTCTTGGTGGCGCGCGATCTTCTACTTTCCTTTATTCATATCTTTGTGTCAAACTCTTTTTTTATATTCCAATCTCACACCTGCGTAGTAACAACCACATCTCCTGTCGTCTAGTTTTATTTGTTTTTTTCTCCCATCCTTTTCTCTTCGTCTTCCTCTTTTCTATTTACTCATGAAAACATCATCCATCAAACTGTGTTTGTATGAAGGAAGGACTAACGAAGCAAGAGATCTGTCGTCCACTTGTGTCTGTCTCAAAGCATAATTAATTCCTACTTCTGTGTATGTACGTGAATGGAAATCAGTCAGTGAGTTCAATCACTCTGTCTATCTATCTCTCTATATATATGCATATATATAAATATTTTTCTTTCATTATTATTGTTGTGTCATCCTAATCACGATTGTTTCATGTCGTTCACATATATATACATATATACAACAAATTTCTCCTGTAAATGTTTGTTTGTGCGTGTGTGTGTGTGCGTGCGTGGAATATGGTGAGACTGGATTCTTCGAAATCAAACATAATTGCTTTTACTATATTATCATGCCCCCAATCTTTTCTCCCCTTGTCACCTCTCCCTCTCCCTCCCCCCTCTCTGTCTCTGTGTGTATACTTACTTCCCCGCCCCCCACCTTTTCCTCTTTCTTCCCTCCTTCTTCTTCTTCTATTTTACCCCATCCATTCTTCTTCTTTTTTGTAAGCTTTTTGCCAAATATAAGTGAAATTAATTAGTGAAAGATGATAATAATAATTTTTGATTATAGTTGTTAGCTCGATTTGTTTCTCCCCCCGTTCCTCCCCCAACCTTTGTTTATATTTTGCTAATATATTGTGCTGCTTCTCTTCTCTACCACTACTTACAATTTGGTGGTGCATGTGCCCATGTAGATAGATAGATGGATGGATGGATACAAGGAATGTGAATAACTTGGTGATATTTGTACGTATGTATGCATGCGTGTGTGTAAATTTGAATGATTTTTCTTGATCATTCCAGTTTCAATATTCGTGTGTACACACTACTCTTTACCAGTGTTGTTGTCCTTTTCTTTTACAACCTTTATCCTCTATTTATGTATGTACAACTGTGAGTGTTTGTCCGTGTGTGTGTATGTTGGTTGGTTTGTTTGTTTGTGTGTATATGTGTGTGTGTGTACTGACTGCTTTATGTTGTTGTCTTAGCAGCACTAACAACTGTGTTGTCTACTGTCACACATCCACGCGCTTCTTAAAGGAGAGGAACAAGTGTTTGCATATATATATATATATATATATATATATATATATATATATATCCATATATATCGATGATATCCATCGTATTTATCACCATTCACTCATTACTTTTGTTGTCAACCTGTTTTTTTTTAAAAATCTTCTTTCTCTTCCATCGTATTTGGCCTTTGTAGTATTCTTCAGTTTTTGTCTTTCTGCTGCTGCTGCTCCTCCCTCCCCCTCGTGACCCCTTCCTGTATTTCTCTCTCAGTCACACACTCTGTCTTTCTCACTTGTGTGTATGTACAAAGACCTGTGTTTATGAGAGAACCACAAAACAATGATAATATTAATAATAATAATAATGTTAGTTGGTCAACTATAAAGTTATAATAATAATAATAATTATTATTATTATTAGTATATAAATATTGTGCTATACATATATATATTTACATTGTATTGTTCTTTTTTCTCCCTTCTTTTTTTGCTATTCTCGTATGTTCTAATATTTGTGCCCTGCTCCGCCCCGCCCTGTCCTTCGTCTCTCACTCTCTCCATCTCTTTGTCTGTGTGTTTGTTTATTAGGATTACATGCAGATTGACGTGTATGTGTATAATTGTACTGTACTGCACTGTACTGTACACACTCCCATTCTGTGTATATGTCGATCAGAGATGGAAGTGAATATCTTACTTGTATTTATTGTATGGACATTCATATTTCATTGCATAATGTCAACTGACTGACTAATGTATGTGATCGTTACGTTAATTATCCATGTAAAGTGTGTAGACATTCTGTCTCTTAGTAGCAATAATAATAATAATAATATTGATAATAATATTAATAATATACTTCGAACTGTTAATTTTTACCGAGTGTAATCAAGTACACACACACACACACTGAATGAATAACTAGTTTTAGCATAGAACTTTGGACAGAAATGCAGCAGTTCGAGTTGTCAGACTCCATGTAAGGCACGTAAAGAAAGTGAAGAGAGAGAGAGAGAAAGAGAAAAAGACATCGGAAAAAGCCTATTGATCGAGATGCCAGAGTTCTTGCTATTGATGTCTATTGTCCGATTTAGTAGCAAAGATTACTGACGTTAAATACTCCAACAATATGAAGTTGACGACAGTGTGGCTTTAGGAGACTGTCAGACGACTGTGTTTTTCCGGTTCTCTTCGTTATTATTGATTGATCATGGAGTGAAGGGGGAAGATGAGGGATAAGCCTGTAGAAAAGTATTAACAGTAGGAGGAGGAGGAAAGCAATACGATGAAGGTGGGTGATGATGATCGGGAGAGCTTCGTGTGGTTTTAGAAGTTTGTGAGTGGTTGTTACGTCTCTGCTGCCCCCACACCGTGGAAGTTAATTTTTTCTTGAGGTAGCTGAAACAGAAAGAGTATTAGTTCTACGTGACCTCTGAGCCCAGAGGGCAGCTGCTCGGGACCGATCACATACAGCCTGTTCGAACTGCTTTTTAGAGTTGTGTCCGTAATAGTAACTTACCGCCGTAAGGTAAATAGGGATGTACAGTTTCTGGAGTTGACCTTTTTTAACTCATCTTCTCCAGAGTGGAGAGGCAGTATAGCTGGTATGCTGGCCATCTGAGGGAGACACCTTACCACTGTTACACCTCTGTTCGTCGACAGCACGACTCTACCTATATATCCTCAGCATAGTGTAATTATCTTACACTATGCCGGCAACTACTTTTAGTCTAATCGTTATGAATGCGATGTGCAAGCCTGACTACCACGTCAAGGCAGCAACTATCGGTCGGGATCAAGTAAGTGCACAAGCGTACAAGCAAAGGAAATCATCGGATATTCCCCTTACTTCTATTCTGTTGTTGAAACTATTAGTTACCCGGAACAGATTTTTTATGTATCAGGCAGGCTATGAGCCGTATCCAGACTTTATTAGGTGGTGTGGGATACGAATCTTGTGGAGATTGGCTAAAAGTTGAGCGCTTGAGGCAATGAGCCACGTCTTCACGAAATTCCGTTCGTTTATTATTATTATTCCCTCAGATTGCGAGTGGAACATAGATCTTCAGCTGCATATCTTCGTTTCATTTTGGTCTCTGCGGTCCTTCCTAGCTGGCTCCACGATTTCCATCATCCATAAGCTTTCATCTCTTCCGTGTCACTCTGGAGCCTACACCCAACTTGTTACTCATTTGGGTTCTACTTGGGGACGTGGTGCGTGATACCACTCGACGGTTCCCACAGCGTATATCCAATCCATATTTGTTGAACAATTAGCCCTTGGCTCGTTCGTAACTTGTCGCTTATCCTTTCTGACCAGTTACCTGATTTTAAACATAGAACCAGTGACTACTAGCTTAAAGATAGGGGGTGTAGTGGTGGTGCGTGTTGACTACTTCACTTATTTGGGGAGTTGCATCACCCAGTGCTGCCGAAATCTCAGCACGTATATAGAAGGATTGTTTGGCGTATGCCCACCAACTTATGCCATCTCTGGCGTAGATGTGAAGTCCGACTACCCCGACCAAAGGGTGTGTGTACTGCTCGCCAGTCCGTTCTCTCCTCCTTTATGGCTAAGGGAGACATGGTCATTGAAAGTGGAAGACAGGAAAATCACGGCTAGCTGTCTTTGATCATAGATAGGTGTCTGTGTTCTATCTCTCGTGTTATGTGGTATAATAAGGCGAACAATATTGAGGTTAGACATCGATCGGTCGAGTGCTACGTAAGGAAGAAGAGTGAGTCGATGAAGCTGAGAATTTACATTGATTGAGATGATTAGGACATACGCTAGGCATTCCTAGCTATCGCCAACTTACTCAATGGTCAATGTTAGCTTACATAGAATGGATCATGTTGGAAAAGAGTTGGCTAGTGGTGGTCGAACCAAAACATGGACAACAGTCAGTTTAAGCCAACCAGTCATTCATGCTGGGAGGTGTAGACTTCCTGACTGGTTGTTGTCCTAGGGATGGTAAAAACCAATGAAGGCTAGAGACAGATGGTGATATGGCTCGAAATCGTTCCCAATGGCTGGCATAGATGCATTCACTCTTTGTAATTTATAATATCCAACACAACTCTGTTGTTCTCCTATAATACTATTCCTTTATCCCTCACACTGTAACAGAAGCAGGCAAGACACCATAGCAAAGGTATATTTCTCATTGATCAAACCGCTGTTTGATCACTGAGCGTGTGATTTTGCTTTACATTAAACGACGTGATATAGAATGTTCAAATATTCACATAGTATTCTGTTTCTAATGCCTCACTGAACTGTGGGAATATGTGAGAATAATATTCCGTCGGAACACACTGTCTGTATCACATCACCACTATACTTCTGTTTTGAATCTGTGTTTGCACACTTCTTTTGCTTTGTGTGGTACATGGAGGGAGAGTGGCAGCTCGAACTGGTGCACAGCTGTGCAAAGTTCTTTGCTGAAGCCAGTCAGCCAGTGAAGACAGCTTCTGCTGGAGATGATTTTGGTAGTTTTTTTTTGATTACAGCTTGATTCCACACCGTATTTTTTGGTAAAGGTATGGAATTTTCAGCATGTGATATCGGTAGCCGAAATTTTGCAGGCTGACCATAGATATCAGGTGTGAGTCGGCAGGGGATCGAACCCCGGACCATGTGTATGGTCGGCGAGAGTCCTAACCACTGTGCCACCGACGCACACACGTGCGCACTGTCTCTAAACCAAATTGAAGAGCTCACTAACGATGCGACATCAGTGTTGAAAATCCGAATCTTCTTCTTTGTGGTTAGTTCAGTAGATTCCTGGACTGATTTCAAATTAATGAAGGTCTGGCTTGCCTTTCTGATGATCCTTATTGATTTTGACATTCTGATCTGTGTCGCCTGTCTGTGTAGTTGAGACGTTACATTCATTCAGTAGGTGTTAGCACGAGTGATATTTTAATAATTTCATATGTATTTACACTAAAATATTGCGAAGAATTGTCTTGATTTTAGAGCGAGGGGGGCTGGGGCGATATTATTTTGACGTATCCCTTCCTTTTTTTTGGACTACAGTGCCTTGATTTATGCCGGGACGACTCCATATAAAAAACTAGAAAGGTGAAAATTCATTTAATGTATACGGTTATTTTGTTCTGTTCTGTAGAATAAAAAAGAATTAGTGTCCTTGACCTAATTATTTGTCTTTCGATCATATGAATATTTTAAGTGGACTGTCACGGTAGTGATTTACCAGAAGTGATTTATACAAGAGCTAAATTACTTTATGTTTATGTGTTAACAAAATTATTGACGGCTATTTGTGGAAAATTGGCAGTGATGTCACGTTGAATTGTTGTTGTTGCGGGGGCTGATACCCCCACGAATAAAAGTAAAGTACCACGATAGCAATCTGAAGGAATTCAGACCTCTTTGGCCTTGTCTACCGTATCTATCCATATCCAGCAGTTCGGCGGCCTATTTAAAAAGTGTGCCACCGTAAACCTCCATCAGTATGTTGCATATAATTTCTCCTATTCCGTTTGTTTGAATCTATTAAAGTATAACCTCTAGTGGTATTATTAAAATGTTTACAACCTGCTGATTCGCAAGGAGAAGCATTATCCCCTCGATTCCAGGTTATCCCAGTACATAAGATCACTGTTCCTTGGTGGTGTCTTTGCTGCACAAAGTGTACTACTCCTGAACTTTTTAATAAAATTGGTATTCAACGAAATGTCGTTGTGTATTTTTCGAAGGAGAAAAAGAAGAGGTATCATCATAATGGGGATTGGTTTCCGCTTCAGGTCAGATAGAACTGTGTCACACGATCTACTGTCAATGAATCTTTTACTTGAAGAACTTAGACGAAGAGAAAATACTAAACGATAAAATCGGCTGAAAATTCTGTACATTACATGAACATTGTTCAGAATAAAGCTATTACTATGGCAATGTTTGACTGTGAAGGGAATGCCAAGAAAGTACATTGCACTAATCAAGACACTCTACTCAAACTCACGTAGCCGTGTAAGGGCTTATGGGGAATTGTCATCTGAACTGATAACAACCAGTGGTGTCCGTCAAGGATGTCCACTTTCCCCTTTTCTGTTCAACTTCATCATAGATATGCTAATGGAAGTATCCTTAACTGAACTTAACGACTTAGGAATCGACTTGTTACCAGGGAATAGTCTTATAGACTTAGAATACGCAGACGACATAGTCCTGTTAGGGGAGGATGCTGACAAAATGCAGAGTCTTCTGAACACCTTGAGCAGCAATCTTCGTATGTTTGGCATGCGATTCGCCCCTGTGAAATGTAAGATGCTGCTACAGGACTGGACTACGTCAACTCCTAGCTTAGTGATAGGGAGTGAAGTGATAGAACATGTTGACCACTTCACCTATTTGGGAAGTTGTATCAGCACCAACGGATTGATTGGTGATGAAATCACAGCACGGATCCAGAAAGCTCGGGCTGCTTTCGCTAACTTACACCGTCTCTGGCGTAGGCGTGACATCTGGCTGTCAACCAAGGGACGTGTATACTGCTCAGCAGTTCGCTCCGTCCTTCTCTATGGCGGTGAGACGTGGCCATTGAGAGCGGAAGACATGAAGAGATTATTTGTTTTTGACCACAGATGTTTACGATCTCTTCCTCACGTTAGGTGGTGGTATAATAAGGTAAGTAATGTTGACGTTAGGCGTAGAGTGTTGGGCAAAGAGGCAAAATCAATCGAAGAGGCTATGAAGTTACATAGATTGAGATGGTCAGGTCACGTGCTGCGCATGCCTAACCATCGCCTCCCCCGACAAGCATTACTAGCTGATATAGGTGCAGGTTGGAAAAGAGTAAGTGGTGGCCAAACAAAAACAT